AGGAATGGGTCTTGGTAGGCGGCTGCCCTTGCAATCAAACGACCATTTGGGTTTCTTGCAGGGTGCATTTCTCGGCTGAGGGAAGAACCAAAATCCAAGCGCTAGGAGTTCATGTTGAGGTTTAGGGACGAAGACGATGGTCTAGGGTTCCGGGAAAACCTGTGTTCTAATCAACATCAACATCTCCGCTGCTCGTAACTTTGACCCCAGCTGTGCCGGTCTGAAATAACAATAATAAGATAGCTTTTGTTAGTTCCATCTTGGAGGCGGCGACCCATTCTCCAAACAGATTCTTACTTTAAATCCTTAACCCTAAGTCTACTCTTGTGGCTGGCATTGAGCAAATAGATGGTACTAAAGGTACTGTAGGGTTTAAGGAGCATGACCTTGCAGTACAGGTAACTGCCCTTTAGAGCCAGTCAGACAAGCAGCACGCGGCGGCCCGACCATTCAATCTTTAACCCTGACAACCTCAAGCTACAAAGGCGTCGAAGCCTGGAACCCCAGAAATTCAATTGTAAATCCTCGTTTAGGCCGCAGAAAGCGCCAAAGCAGGCGGACGATTGGGAGTTTCGGTGCTAGGGTTTGGGGGTGCTGTGTCAGGGCGTTCGGGGCTTTGGAGCACAATTTTCGAGTTTGAGGTTATGCTGTCTCAACGGCAATGGCGGGATGTGAGTCTATGTGGTTGAAGGTGTTTCTGCACTGATAATTGTAGCTGTGGATGCTTATGTCTTGTAGTTTAGCGAGTCTAGTGTTCATACTTCACGGACATGTATAGAAAATGGGGTTAGCACGGCGTAACCTGGTTGCCAAATGTTTCAAGGGTGTCCTGTACCGAACGAAAGCCATCAGCCACCACAGCCCACAAGGCGGCTTCTATCGTGCAGCCTAAGACCCGTTCAGATTGTGGTTTCTTCCGGTCGTATTTGTAAGAGGCGGGATTATATCTGTATTCTGTAGGTGAACAGTGAGCAGAGCTGGAAAGTTGCCAGCACCCGCAATGAAAAGCCAAAAGCGGTTGTGCAGCGTTGGTGGTTGTACGAAGTGTCTGAGTCAGTAGCAACGACAAGTGTAAACAACTCTCAAGCCAAGACCGCCTGCTAGGGTCAAGCATCTCTTCTAGATCAACTGTACGGAAGGTCCTGAAAACCTTAAAGCCCGAGTGTGCTTATGCTCTTCGGCCTCGATGGTGCATGACTGTCCGGGCTGCTCACACGGCCACCTCGATGTTTGCATGGGTCCTAAACCGTTGAGGTTGGTGGACCAGCTACATGTTCGCGGCTGCATTACCCTCTTATCCAATCCTGCAGTCTGAAGCCCGAAGCCTTTCAACCGGCGTGCACATACGAGATGACGGCCAAACGATGTAATTTGCTCAGCCTCTGTTCTGTAGCCCCCACGCCTCAAAGTCTACATCCCAGAAGATGCGACAAGACAGCCATACCCTCGCAATCCTCAAGAAGAGGCGCCGACGACTGCAGCGCCACCGGCACCGAAAACGTCGAAAGTCGGGACCTGGGAGCTTCGGATTTGACACGGCGTGATCTCCTCCGCCAAGGGGCCCTAACGACTTGCCCCTTCAATTATTCTGGCACCAGTTGGTGCGTTGTGGTGGTTCCGGGTTTGCACAGCCCAACGGCCCAACATATCCGTTATCTTCGAACTTTGCGGAACCCGATTAGCAGTCTTCGGCTTAACATTAAACCCTGAAACCTCGGGGACAGTAAACCCTGAAGCCCTGCAGCCCGATGAACCCCAGACTCAACAGCTGTGGCTCGGAGCCGCTCGGCGCCGAGGCTACCAGCAAGGCGGCACCACCGGCACTGAGGCGGGGAAACTGCCCAAATTGGTCGGCTCCTTGCTTTTCTTTAGGGTTTAGGGTCTGCGGTTAAGGGTCGACCATGATCCTCCGAGCACCTTGAATGGAGGTTTGTTAGACTTTAGTGGGCATTGATGCGATGCATGCAAGCAGTTGGGGTCTTATCTAGGGCTCGGTTCGTGTAGGATTGGGGATTGAGGTAGCCGATTGGCTTTGGTGTTGTAGGGTTTGGAATTGCGTTTATTGGGGATGTCGCTCTTTTCTCTGGAGGCCAGCCTTGCAGCGGCATTGTTGGGTAGTCTCAGGCTCGATGTTCATGTCTGGGGTTTAGCGCTTGAGCTTTAGGCATGTTTCGGAAGGTTGTGGAAAAGAGGCTACCCGCAGAACGAACGTAGTCAATATAAACCCTATGCCCAAAACCGTGTACAGCAGGTCCCCTCCAGGTGCCCTTGAAGAGTCCTTGAAGGACCTGGCAAACATGAAGCCAGCACTCCCCAACCGCCCTTCCCAAGTCCGAAGCGGAGATGGGTAAACCCAATCTGAAATTGTTGTTCCTTGATGGAGAAGGCCTGGTGCTGTCGGAATTGGCAGCCACGCGCCCGGGTCAAGCCCTGAGGTCTTCTAAGAGCCTCTAAAGATTTATATGGGCATTCCAGGATTTTTGGATGTTGATGTTGGGGGTTTCAGATTCTAGGGTTGAATGTCAGGCCTCGCAGAATGCGAGACTTCCAGAATCTCTCTCAGAATGCACGCCATCAAAACTGCAAAAGGGTCAGTTCATGTTTAGTTGCATTCTATGTGATGAAAGAAAGCGTAGCCTGGGAGAGTCGGATAGGGCAATGCAGCTCGGGATAGTTGAAGCCACGCACATGGTCCATCCTTCTGCAGACTTTCGAGTCCTGCATCCTCCTACGACGTTGGAGCAGTTAATGGGGATGGGATTCAGATTTTTTGGTCGTAGACGTGGCTCTTATACAGCTACCTGGTTCCACAATATGCCAGTTGGCTTGGAATCTCAAAGCGGTTAAACTGGGTTCTGGAGTACCATACTTTGATACGTTTTTTGAGCTGTTCCTTAGAGTAACTTCTTTATGAAGTAAAAAGCATTCGCGCTGTTTACTGCATGGCATAGCCCAATGTTGCCAATGTGTATTATGGGTCAAGGCTCGTCTGGAACTTCTGATTCTGTCTGATGTATACATGGGGGTTTAGGTGTTCCGGCTTAACTTAAGGGGTTTGCAGATGGTTTTTCGACCTTTGACAGGGCGGTGCCTCACTTCCTACAGGTCCTAGAAACACTCACATAAAGCCCTAAAGGCCTGAAGCCCAATAGCCTATAGAGACGGTGAGCGGCGGCCTCACAGCCCATACCACATCCCAGGCTCGACGTGACGGGCCTGCGGATAAGAGCAGGCGCGAACATTGTGCCGGTCAGAGGGTCGAGCAGAGTCTAACATATCATCGAATAGAGTTGATACATTTGACAGGACTTTGCAGGCTGGGGCTTTGTAAGTATAGACTGTAGGCAATTATAGGCTTTAGGGCTAAGGTACAATGCGGTTTCTTACTCGTTATCATAGGGCGGTAGAGGTGGTGTGTGCTTGTGTATGAGTGCACCAGCGGTGTTATCTTTCCGTCCTCGGGCTTCTCGGTTGCGAGTCCTTGATGCGGGTTCGGGCAAGGGTTTGAACTGCTGGATGTTGAATATCGTTCCAGTTCGGAGGTCGACAGGTGTTGAGGTAAGTGCCATGCAAGCCGAGCAATGAGTGTGACCGGGGAACTGAACGTTCCGACACCCGGTGCCCCAAGTGCTGATTCCGTTGCGTGGGTTTCGG